TACGGCTTGATATTTAGCAAGTTAACTGTCTTGTGCAAAGGATGGATGCTTCACAGGCTGCAGGAAAGCTTTCGAGTGGTCATGCATTCTGAGATCTCTGTAGTGGACTGGCTAGATACGGACCTATACGAGGATTACAAATCTCCCTTTGATTTTGATACTGGAGTTAATAGAAATTATCTCTACCTGTCGCCCAGAATGACTTTCTCTCCACCTGGATCTCCTATCCTGAAGAACCCTGGTAATGCTTTTAAAATGTTTTTGTATCTACAATGCTCTTAGAAAAAGGTGTACTGTAAAGGTAGACTTCTGGAAACTGCAGCTTCGCATTTGTGGTAATACACCCTGAGCGGTCCCCCTGGAGTTGAAAGCAGCTATTAGAGAGCTCTTGGGGAGCACAGATCATCTTCTGTACTATAGTTTTAATGAGCAAAGAATCAGGGTTGCTACTAATAACACTCCATCAGCTGAAAGCTTGCTTTGTAATGTAGTATATGTGTATCTCGGATATTGTTACTGCTCCACAGCCTATGAATCTGCATTGATTTAGACCCCCTCCAGCACAAAGAATGGTTGAAAGAATGGATAATAAAGGGTTCATATTCTGTTATAAAATCCCACCCAGCCTCTTTCCCTGTACTATTCAGAAGAACTTAAGCAGAAGGGCTTTCTGTGTCTCCTTTGCAGCCCACACAATATGAACAAAGCCATCTCTCCTGAAGCACTTTAAGATAAAAAATAATGTTCCAGAAATGCGGAAAACCATAACCTCTCTATATTATGAGCAAAACACTGTTTTGAATGTATTGAAAAAATTGTCTAATAGTTATTGTTCCAAATACTGTATATGTTTTTGATTTTTAGAAGAAAATTTAGAGATCAATACAACTTGCAAAATGGTATCAGAGGCATTAGTTCACAAAATGTGGAACAGAATCCAAGTTACAAATAACTAGTTGCCCAGTTCTACTGGACCTTGGTTCACATCATGTTTCAATCTGCGACTCTTGTATTTTGGGGGCAAGGGGTTTTTTCTGAGTGTCCATCAGGGTGGATGAAAATCAGTGATTTTTAAAAAATCAAATTGATGTAAATCACTATTTAAATCTTGATTTAAATTTTAAAAATGGATTTCTTGTTTTAAATCATCAAAAAATCCAATTTTAAAAATTTAAATCATGGTGTAAATTAAATCCACCTTGGAGTGCCCATCCAATTGCTTTATTTGTGCAAGATGCACTTGATGATTAATTTAAACATTGATTGATATAGGGTGGTATCCTAAAGCAGACAGTTCCTGAGACTGAATTGATTCCTCACTTGATTTCATCATCTCTCTTGCTGTACGTCTGGTGTCTTTCTAGAGGCTAACATGTAGCTATGAACCAGGTAGTCACTGCCTTGCCAGTTGCTTTCACTATAAGTTGAGTAGTTAACCTTAGGTAGGTGGTTCTCTTCTTTCTCCTCCTGTAAATGTACAGCATGGGAATAATATACAAAAGTTAAATTGTAGCACAGTTTTTGAAACAAAAGTGGAAGAAATTGGATGAAATGGATTCAGCACTGAATACAGTAATGTGAAACAGATACAAGGTAGATACAGAGATATGTGTTCATTTACGGGGCTGGCCACACTATTAAGTAGAGTGTGGCTCATGTGCAATAGCACAATATTGGACAAAGCCACTGTGCTGCCTTACTGTCAACTCTGATATTCTAAGCAAAACCCCAGCCTCAGTTTTTGGGGGAGGGACCTTGTGCCATCATGAGTGTTGGAAGTAGATTCAACTACTGTAGTTGGCTTTTCTATGTGGAATGGGAAAATTGCACCACAAGTGTCCATTGCTGTCTTCAAAGAGGAAAATGTCTTGAACTAATCCTAGCCATTAATTAACATTTCAATTTCTAAGTTGCAAATACCATACACTAAGTACCATTAAGACACAAGCGGTAACCTCTGTCCAGCTAGTAGAGATGGAGAGAAAATGAGTTGGCAGAACTCTGAATGCAAAACTAATTTAGTTGGTTTAGGGGAATAAAGGCAGGTGCTTCCTGCTGTTCTAACAGTTTTCTTAAATTTGATACAGGCAAGGCTATAAAACTTGGATTCCAGAGGTTAAATCAAAGTAAACTGATATTTTTTAAAGATAAAAATAGGTTCATCGTACTGCAGGACAGATCTTTCTGTAGAGAGATGGATTGTAGATAGCAGTTTGAATAGCATGGACGTCTGATGACAGTGAATTCCTGTCATGACTATAGAAATTTTCTACAATATGTATACTTGAAGTACCTTTTTATATGTTCAACTTCCTGTAAATGTGTGCAAGAATGTATGAAATGAACCTTGAACAACCAGAATTCTAAATAGATAAATGTATACAACCACATACAGTATACTGGAGGGGCAGAGGGTTCAGACTTGATCATCACTGGCAACTATCCCATTTCCCTATACATCTAAGTAGAAAGCCTGCATGTGGGAGAGAAACTACCTATTGCCCTATTCTGTTAGAGTGTTCTTGGACTGTGGTTCCCAGAGGCCTTCACCACCTGCTATATTGACTGAGGTTTCTGGGAGTTGCAGTGCAAGAACACCTGGGTTTTCCAAAGTTAGGAACCAGTGTGACAGAGGAAGGTGAAATAGCAATGCCTGATGAGGGTTACAGAGGAGCCTGGACTGTTTGTTCTGTTTTTCCAGTTGTCAGATGATTTTAAAATCCACTTACATAACAACATTTGCATTAATTTTGAAGCGAACAAATGTCCTTTCAAAATTGTACATTTTGCATATGAAAGAAGCACTGATAGTTTTAGATAACAAATGCACCATTTCTGGTAGATTTCATTGCCTGGACATCTACCAATCATGATAAGTGGGCCTGACCTCTAAGAATTCTGTACTAGATTTACTGCTCTGTGGTGTTGCAATAAAACTGTAACCGCAGACAACAAAATGGGTACAATAATGCTTGTCAGAGCTGATATAACCTACAGTCTCTCTGCCTGTGTCTGGCGGTGTGGACATAGTAACAATGGATATTTATTTGCATGTTAAAGTTAATACAGTACTTTTAATGTTTGCTCAAAAATAATTTTTTGAATAAGATGTGAGTTAGAAGGATAATGTGCTTCCACCTTTGCCACTGTCATGGTGGTGAGGGAGAAATATACCACCAGCCATCACAGCTACATTAAATTCCTGGATCTCTGATTTCTTTTTCAAGGTGACGATAGCATTATACCTGGGAGGACTGCAACAATGGCTTTAAAATGCATCAGGAAATTCCTTCTCCATAAAGTCTGTTGGTCATTCATGACTGTAGGTTAATTCATTGCCTAAAATCACTAGAATACTGTGGGAGGAAGGTAGCTGCTTGCAGAACAAATGGGTGTGATGATGCCTGTAAAAGTTGGAGTTGCTTTGAAGAGAAAAAGGGAACTGGAAAATCTTACTTATCTGGGGGTGGGAGGTAACTGCCTCTTGCCTCCCTTAGCAGAGATGCTTGGCTGCTATGATAAAGAATTCAACAATATAGTTGTGAACATACTATAGGGTGTCTCCAATATTTCTAGATTGTAATAGTGCAAAATAAATTAAATTAAGGGAGGTTTGGAGGCTCTCAGAAGCAGTGTGTTGTTACTGTATTTCTAGGGTGTTGAAGTCTTATAGAATTTGAAGAAATAGCAACCCTGGGTCAGAACAAGCAGAATGAGTTTGAGCTGCCTGATGGCCCAAGGAGTCTCTTCTCCATAACAGTGCAGAAAGTCCCTGTCTGTAAGCTTGATCCTTAATACAAGCAGTCTCGGATGGAATATAAATCTCAATTAACAGTAAAACACGGAAATTAAATTTCAGAATTACAGCAGTGGCAATATTAGAAATAGAATCTGTATGGATTGCACAGGCCTGTAGCTTGTTAGATATCATCGCACACAGCCGTCCCTTACCCCTTTTCCACTAGGAGTCACCTTAAGAACAAATGATACCTAGCCATCCAATATCAATTCTTGCTGGGACCAAGTCTCTTGAAACAATAAAATGTCAAAATTCTCGATATACTCTTTAAAGGAGATAGACACTATTTTGGAGGCCCAGCCTGCAATATTCTAAGGAATGGTTTTAATTAATACTTGCTCTAGGGAGGTGACCGGAGTCCACAGGGACGTCATGTTCCTCCAGCCTATATTGCAACAGTTTCAAAGGAGGTCCAGAGAATTTTATGTTGTGCTCTTACACTTGGATAAGAAATTTGATACAGTATAACTGAACAGTGGTGAAGTTTTGTATGGGAACAATGAAGTGTCGCTGCTCCCTCCTTGCACTGATTAAAGCAATGGCAGATGTTTAATAATGGTGTGTATTGGCCACATTATACTTTATATGGCACACTATGTAGGATGATGAGACTGCAATAGGTCGTACAGTATATTTTTTATTGTATTTTCATGTTATACTAATATTTGAAATATTTGAAAGAAAGCAAGCAAACAAGTAGTATTACATATCATTTTGCTGATTTGTGTGTGTGTCTTTAAAAAATAAGTATTGCTGTTATGTGCTGTTAAGTTGCCCTCCCGACTTATGGCAACTCCATGAATGAGTGATCTCCAAAATGTCCTGTCCTCAATTGCCCTGATCAGCTCTTGCAAACCCAAGCCTGTAGCTTCCTTTTTGGAGTCAATCCATCTCGTATTTGGTCTTCCTCTTTTCCTGCTGCCTTCCACCTTTCCTAGCATTATTGGCTTTTCCGGAGAATCCTATCTTCTTACAATGTGCCCAAAGTCTCATAATGTGCCCAAAGTAGGACAGCTTCATTTTCAACATATTCAAAACACAGAGGTCCACAGGATGGCGAGTGCCTCCTTTGCCCTCCTCCCTAGCAGATGGCAGACATCTGCGAACTGACATTTCATTAATGTTGGTTTAATAAAATAGAATTGTGCAATGTTTTAAATAGTGCAATCCTAATTACCAATTCTGTACTGCTTTTCCAAAGGTCTTCTAAAACATGAAGCTATTCCTGAAGTTGGAGAAGATGCTGCTGCATCAGTTAATGTTACAGAAGGATTATCTGAAGAAGAACAGGATGAACTTAGAAGAGAGCTTGCAAAGGTAACTCTTAACCTTTTCTGCATGGTACACATACTGTAACTAATTTAGCACACATGTAGGGCTTCTGTTATGGGGCCCTGACATCTTTATATGCTCTTCTCCAGATTTTTTTGGGGGGGGGGTTGCAGTTTTATTTTAACATTTTATCAGCTGCTGCTTTTTTTGCAATACACATATATGTGTTAAATAATGCTTCTCAGATTTAATGAGATGTATTTTAATTTTTTAAAAATCTGCTTTATGAGCAAATATATTTTACTCAGAAAAGCAAGCTATAAATATTCTAGCAATAACAATAATAAAGCTACATCCACACATAAGTATTTAATATAGTTTTAAAAGTGCTGCTTCTCTAAGTTTGCAATGAGAAAAATCAGGATGCTGCTGTATGTTTAATGCTAAGCATTTATTGTCCTTTATGTGGAGACTTATCTATGCAGCTCTTTGTCTTTTTGAAGAAAAGTTAGATGTGTATAACCAACATTGGTTAACAACCTTGATATTGTATGACAGTCTGCCTTGGTGGGCACAAACATTCCAACTAAGTTGCCCATTATATAATTCACAAGCAAAACTGCTTCCTAGGTTTCCTTAAAGAAAGATCCCACCATCTCCTCTTGCTCCTTCTTCTTCTGTGAGCCCTACTGACGAGTCTAGGGTTGCGTGGATTTTTTATTAACCAGTTTATTTGTTCTTTCAGCCTCTTGGTAGTTCAAGTAGGCCCAGCACTGCAGGTTTTGTACTTAGTAGTGAATATATGAAAGATGGTACTCTTGTGGGATGGTTCCCCACATGTTATCCCTAGCCATCCTAGTCTTGCCAGCCTCCTTGTCAGAGGCATAAGGCCAGTGTTCGAGTAAGTGAGAGAAAAAGAGGGAATTCTTGTGTGTGGTTGGGTGTGTGAATTAATGCCCACCTTTGCATATGGGTGTTAGTCTTTTTATCCTACCAACCACAGTGAGCACCAGCCATCACTGCATCTAGGTGCCTTTTAATCATTGATACACATTTCTCTTTTGGAATCTCTTAAGTGTAATAATGTAAGCAAATGGTAGAAAAACAAGTTCTTAGGGAAATTGGAAGTGCATGACATTCAGGAAGGAAAAGATTCTTTAATTCCTTGCTTTCGTGTTTCCTTGCTTTCTTCCATATAACCATAGAAAAGTGACGTCGGAAGGGGCCTACAAGGCCATCAAGTGCAATCCCCTGCTCAATGCAGGAATACAATCAAAGCATATCTGCCAGGTGTTTATCTAAGTTTTGCTTGAATGCCTCCAGTGTTGGAGCACTCACCAACTCCCAAGGTAACTGGTCCCACTGTCGTACTGCTCTAACAGTTAGGAAGTTTTTCCTGATATTCAACCAAAATCTGGCTTCCTTTAATTTGAGCCGATTGTTCCATGGCCTGCACTCTGAGATGATCGAGAACAGATCTTGCCTCTCCTCTGTATGACAGTCTTTCAAATATTTGAAAAATGTTATCATATCACCCCTCAGCCTTCTTTTCTCAAGGCTAAACATGCCCAATTCTTTCAGCCTTTCCTCATAAGGCTTGGTTTCCTGCCTGCTGATCATCCTTGTCGCCCTCCTCTGAACTTGTTCCCATTTGTTACCTTACAGACGTTTTCTGCTCACTTGGACCAGAGCCTATCTCCAAGGTTAAATTCCTGTCTGAGGCTTTGCTTCCTGTTATTAATGTATGAAAAAGGAAGCTGTCACAGTGCTTCCTGGGAATTATAATCTTACTACTTTTAAGGCTCTATAAAGGGTGCCTCTTCAAGAACTACAGCTCCCAGGAAGCACTATAGAAGCTTCCTAACCGCAGGAAGCAAGGCCTCTGGCAGGCATGCAATTTGGAGAAAACTTGGTCCAGATGAGCAAAAGGTAAGTGTTTATGGGCTGCAATTCCCAGACTTCTGAATGGTCAGTTTTTGGAGAAGTCTGAAAAGTGGAATCCAAAAAAACCAAACACACATCCCAAAATGCCAGCATGAAATGAAGTTAAGAGACAAAAATGTGTGTGCTCTTTAGGTTGCAAGCTTATGCATGTGTAGCTGAAAGTAAATGCTACTATAGTAGGGACCCCTTTTTTGTGGGATCAGTATCTGTTGATTTACTTATCCACTGTCTGAAAATATTAAAAATATTAAAAGAAAATATATATCCCCCAAATATTATATATTGTATAAAAATAAAATGATGAAGTTACCAGAACTGGCTGCTAGATGGACCCAGGGACCATGTTATGTACTGTATAGTGTTCACCATTAGAAATGTGTTCAGTGTTTTTCAGCATCTGTGGGGAGTGGCCTTGGAACCGATTCCCCGTGGATACAGAGGTCCAACTATAATTAAACATGGCTTTTCTTTTCGAGAATATGAATAGGATTGGGCTGCACGCTACCTAGCTTCTACCACTAAAGACAGATGACATGAATTACTATAACAGGGCACTGAATATGTGCTGGTGGATTACTCAGTTGCCCATAGAAGCTGCTGCTTTTCTGACTGTGACAGGGTGGATAACAGAATTTCCCGTGGAGTATAGAGATGAGGAAAACAAACAAGAAGATGTTCCTTTCATCATAGTATGGACCAATCAATGTGAAATTCTGGGGTTGAACTGAGGTCAAACTGCAGTTTAATCCCTGTGTCATGGGGCTCAGTATTACAAGTTCTTGTATGTATTTTGGATGGATCTAAATATTCAGGATAAGTATGTTGTCTGTCTTTTGTGATTGTATCATGGGAGAATCCTGCTGGAAGATTATCTATACTGGTTGTAACTGTTCCTCCCACATCAGGCACCATGCTGTGAGAAATCTCTATATACTAGTGAAGCTGTCTAGCCAAAGCCATTCATTTGTTGTCATTTTCCTCTGAAGGAAACTGCTTATTAAGAGTTATTTTATGATCATGGGGACAAATATTTCTGCTTAATATAATCCATTCATTTCCTCTGAAAGGAAACTTCTTATTAAGACTTTATGCTTGTGGAGCTAAAGTGTCTCTGCTTAATGTAATATTTTAGTTAAAAAAATGAGTGGAAGAAAGATGAGGCTTGATAGGATCTTATCTATTTGTATTTATGTATGTTGTTTTGTTTTCATATTTTATGTTCTGCAACTGCTTAATGGTTTCTGCTTTGCAGGTAGAAGAAGAAATTCAAACTCTGTCACAAGTGCTAGCAGCTAAAGAGAAGCATCTAGCAGAAATAAAGAGGAAACTAGGAATCAGTTCATTGCAGGAGCTGAAGCAGAACCTTTCTAAAGGATGGCAAGATGTAACATCAACAAATGCGTATGTTTCCTTTCTTTAGCATAGTTTCAAATCAAGGGATACTGAGTGAAGTGCTCTGCACACTGTTCACAGAAGTCTACATTTTGTGGTCCAAAGGGGACAGGACGTATGTTTGGGTGGTCCTTAAAATCCTCTGCATAATGACTGAATACTTCCTTTTTTTTCTGAAATACTAGCTTTCCATTTGTTGGGGCTCTCCCATATGGGGGAGAATTATGAAACAAGTAACCCCTTCTACTCTGTAGAAGTTCCCTGAAGCACTGTCACTGAAAAATATGTGTCATATGATTCTGTATGTTATGTAGACTAGCTCCTAATGTCTTGGAAATATAATTAGTCAAAGCAGAAGCAGAAGTTGTAGATAGGATTTGGTGTTCTATCTGTATAAGCATATATGTGAACATGTACGAATGTCCATTCCTTTAGCATTAATCTCCCTGATATGGTTCCCTTGACAAATTTTGGATTATAGCTTACATCATCCTTGACTGTTGACCACCCTGGCCTTGGCAGGAGTTGGAGTCCAGCAGCATCTATAGAGTGACACATTGCAGAAAACTGGCCTAAACCAATACTGTAGGTTTGAAAAGTAGGCTAAAAATTAATTTTTACTGTCATAGCATAAGCATGAACCACCTGTGTTCTCTTGCTGTTTCTAGAACTCTGTCTGGTCAAATGGCAGAACTTCACACTTTCTTTTTTTAAAACGATTGTGTATCGGTAGTGAAAGTCATATGTCTTGGAAAGTCTAATTCTTCTGATCCAGACATAATTTCAAGTGCTGCCTCAAGAAATTGTTAGCTTGTGTTGGAAGAAGTGGCAGCTTGTTGCAGAATAGTCATTTGGTGAGGAAGAAGGATATAAAGACAAAATCCTGATGTTTAGCTGCATCTGCAGAAGGCAAATCACATAACTCACTGGGACTTGTCGCTAGTTAAATAATTCTTGCTTGGTTTTCTCGGGTTTGTACAACTCCTGGTGAGTTGGTGCACAGCTGAAGATTCAGGCAGGGGTTTGTTAACAGCTAATAAGAAGCTGCTGTGAGTTTCACCATTAGCTTTCTATAGGTGTAAGTGTGCAGTGGGATTCTGCCCCAAATCTTCCTTTCTAGATGAATCTGTACTGAAGTTCTTCAGTGGAAATGTCATTGGAGAAAGGTGAGGTAAAATATTTTAAATGAATAAAATGAATAATTGGCTGCTGTAAGGTACATAACTTTGAATAAACGACTCCTGAATTTCAAGTGTGAGATAATAGGAATATCTTTTCCTAGACCAAGATGCACATGAATTAAAATAACAGGTTGCATCATTTTTCAAATGCAGATATAAGAAGACATCGGAAACATTGTCTCAGGCTGGGCAGAAGGCTTCTGCTGCTTTCTCAACGGTTGGTTCTGCAATCACAAAGAAACTGGAAGATGTGAAGTATGGCTTTAGTCTTTCCCTACCTATTTACTGTACCGGAGTTTAAGTTTGGTAGACCGAAATGAATAATGCATCCAATGGTGGAGAGTCTGTGTGAATTATTGCATAAACTTGGATTATTGTGATGTTGAATGGTCTGCCTTGGATTCTAGTCAGTGACAAATTCTAGTCAGTGACATATAAAACACATCTATAGTTAACAAAAAATGGTCATATAAATTTTGCTTTGCTTTTAAATGCCCACATTCCTTTTAGTCAATATAGCATTTCATCTGTACAAGGCAATTGGATGGTGACACATTTTGCCACTGAAGGGAGGGGGCAGTATTTTATATAGGAAGAGACATCCCTCCACTGTCTGGAGTAGCAGTGATCCACATAGACTTGCATTGTCCAGGCATGCTTTGGAAACAGCATGCATATTTTGACTTAGTGTGCTTTAAACTCTTAGCTGCCTAAGACAGAGGATAACATGCAACACATCATTGGTAATAGACATAGATATGCATTCTGTGGCTCTCTCGTGATGCCTCACAAACCACCTTCTCATCCTGCTTAATATGCAAGGTGGTTCTCCACTGACTTGGCTACTAGGAGATTTTTTTTTCTGGATGTACCTTGCATGATGCTACCATGTTTGAGGGCTGTGGAGAATATTGTTCTGTTTGGGCTAGGAATAACAGCCTACAGCACAAGGAACTTCTGCATTTGCTATTGGCTCATCTGGAAAGAAGGAAGGTGTTTTAAATAAACAGCAAGTTGCACGAATCACGGCCTGTAGATTTCTGAACCACCTGCATTTTGTAAAATTGGCCCTTCCCAGAATTTGGAATGAATTTGTGAGTGATTCAGATAGAATTTTTTTCAGATAAATTCTTTAAAAAATGTTCTGATGCAACGTATTTTGGCAGTTTGGCCAACAGAATGTTATGTTTATGGTGCCTTTGAATTATTTTCAATACTTTCTCTTATTTTATTTTTAAATCATGTAATATCCAAGGAAACAAAACCACCAACATTTTCTTGGGATTTAATGTACATGGAAGAGGAATCATCTAATAAATTGCCATGGCTAACTGAAGACATGACAAGCCCAGTCAGTTGTGTTCTTTGTCACGTACACAGCAGCACGAAGCCACTTCATCAGTTAGTTGCAGCATGATTTATCTTGTGCATGCACAAAATCCCAGCAGAGATTTGGCCAGTTACATTTCTGTACCACTCAGTAGTCAAAACTCTATGGTATGGTGGAGGAAAAAAAGCTTTTAAATAATAAAATAATAAAATACAGAAACATAACAAAATACAGAAACATAACAAAACATAATGGTCAAAATCTCATTGGAAACCAAGGTGTATGCAAGAAGAACTGTAGAGGTTTATGTGGCTAATTGTTAAGGTGTTAAGTGCATGACAGACACAGCTGACGTGTAACCAATGTGCAGCTGGCACCTCACTGAAGGATAAAATCTCAATGCAGTTCCTCAGAAATGTGCTGAACTTTTAAAAAAGAAAATTACTAAACATTTTGTCATTTGCAATTTTCTTTTGGATACCGAAGTTGGAAAAAAGCATTGAAGCTTAATGAACTAAGACACACAAAATGAATAAAAACAAAATTACATTGTTCACAGCATTTTGTTTTTTGCTGCTGCACAGCCCTTGGAACTACGAATTGAATGATGTCTTCCCTCCTTCAAAAGTAAAAATCTCTTATATAAGTAATGCACAGTATTCTGAACAGCTTAACATGATAGTTAGATTCCATTGCTCAAAATAAACTTAATCTGTCAGTTTCATTTTAAAATCAAGTATAATTATGTGCTTATAGCTCATACTGTGAAAATACCTATGTTTATGCTGAAGCAGAGTGCAGGCATTTAAACATTCATTTGGGTAAGATGGTTTAAAGGTGTAGAGTATGCAAGTTGGCTTTCTCTCATAGCTGACAGCATAATATGTAGTTAACTTGTAGAGAGCTAAATTAGTTGGTGGGATTTAAGTTTAGGTAATTCTGAAATGTTCAATTAAACATTCCTTGCTTCAGGAAGGGGAAAAATTTAGAAGAGGAGCTAGCAATATTTTTTGGAAATAAACATAATGTAAGGAAACTGCAGAATTCTTACTACAGTTGTGTGTTCTGAAACACTTGACATCCTTGTACATGTATGTGTGTTAGTGACTTTGTCAGAGAAGTAGCTTTTCCCTTCAGTATCTTTACAGCAGAAATCATGCTAGCATTAAGCTTCAAACAAAGCATGAGTAACTGTACCAGAGCTGGCAAGTTTAGTTCCTTGTGGTCGCTAATACCTAAGAATCTTGAGATAATATGATGGGCTGCAGACTGCAGTAATTAGTTAAATGTTTTAACATAAGGCTTTTTCCAGAATGAGCACTTAAACCAATTTAACAGATGATTGCTACAGACTGCCCCCACCCATAATGAAATAATATAATTGGAATGAACCACAAAGGCCATCTAGTCCATTTCCTTTCCATTGCAGGATATCTTCTATTATAGCATCCCCAACATGGTGCCAGTCAGCTTATGTTTTAAAATCTTCAATGAATGAGTCTGCTGCCTTCTGAGGCAGTCTATTTCACTCTTGAATTGCTTGCATCATTTTCGAGAATTTCCTGCTGTTTTGTCCAACTCTTTTTTTCTTGTCACTTGAGTTCACTGAACTCAGTGTTGTTTTCTGGAACAACAGGAAACAAGCACGCTCCATCTATCAGACCATTCCTCAAATATTTGAAGATGGCTACCATATTGTCAATTGATGTCTGCTCAAGTTACCCATCCAGCTCCTTCAACTCTTCCTCATAGCACATGGTCTCCAGACCCATCGCTATCTTTGTCATTATCATCTGGACACATTTGCAGTTTGTCAACGTCTTCAAGATTGGCACTGTATGCTATACTGAAGGACTGAAACAAATATTTGCTCCCTTCCAAAAGCTTTACTGGAATGTTACCTTACTATAGCCTTTCTGAATTTCTACGATAGAAATGTGATCATGATCTTTTACTAGTTTTCCTTGTTGATCATTTTAAAATTCAGGTATTTTCTGTTTCTGAAGGAGAAAGTGAAAGGGACAAACATTTGAAAAGAGAAATCTAATCTTTCCTACTGTGAGAAGTTTGTACATTCATTTGGGGAAAAACCCATGGTGGTCTCTTTTTGAAAGCATGAAATGATTTGAATTGCAGTTAGCTTCAGACTCACATATTATTCTAGCCTCCTCCATGGTCACCTAGAGGTGTCTGGGTTGTTTTCTCTCACTTAACTGTTTTTCACATCTGAAAATGTGAGAAATATTTTGTAGTGGTTTCGGACCACTAATTTCAAACCTGTCAAGTTTGAGATTATGTTAGAAAACAGTTTTTGAAGATAGGTGCTTGCAATTAATAGTTATTGATGGTACAGGACACTGCACTTAAGTCAGAGCAGAAGCTTCTCAAATCCCTCCTCAAATGCTCAAACACCCAATTTCATCTCATTTTGAAAGCTGAGCAGAGTTGGACCTAGTTAGTGCTTGGATAGGAGACCATCAAAAGCGTGCTGCTTTTCAGGGAATAACAGAGGTCTTCAGCTAGGGCTAGGAAGGAATTTTGTTTGAAACTATGGACAACTGCTTCTAGTTAGAAATAACAAAACTAAGCTAAATAGACCAGTGGCCTGACTTGGTAAAAACATGGTGTTATATGTTCTGAGGAGCATAAATCAAGTAGGTGGTTCTTCTTACACATATTCCAGAAAGATTATTAGCTCTTCTTGGAAGCGCCAGAAAGTTGTATTTGAACACAAAGTAGGATCCAGTGTCATCAACCTAAGGAAGAGCAATGAATAAAGTAGTATCTGCAAACTACTAGAATCCCATTATGTTTCTAAATTGAATTGGTTTTACTTGTACAGTACTTTCTTTCTGAAAGCTTTCATGGAGTATGACTATTGTCTTTTGTAGCTTAAGGGGAAACATGCTTCCTGATCATATATGTTAAGTATGATTACAACTGGTTATTTAATAACCATTTAATTGAATCTGAGCTGCACTTACTGGCAATCAGGTCACTGAAACTAATCAGCGATTTTCTAATTCATGTTGCATTAGCTACTTCTGTTTGGTTGAAGGAACAAGCATCTTCAAAAGCTATTGTAATCTAGTGTAATTTGTCCCAGGGAAACGTTCTCAGGTTTTATACCTAAAAAGGCATTTGTTATTTTCCAGGATAGTGCAAGGATGAACATACTATGGAATGTTTGCACAAAATAATGTTTTACATAAAAGAGGAGCACTTTTGTGTGTTTGGGGGGAGCTAATTAGGGCAAAAAAGAAAATGCTGTGTAGTTGACTAGCTATACTTGCTGTAAGTAAATATTTTAGAACATATTGGCCTCATTTACGTAATTTATAATCTGTCACATTGTGCTAAAAGTGATAAGTTGCTCTGGAAAACAAACTGCAGGGGGTGATTCTTAAAGATAGCATGTGTTAAATGTTACTGCTGCTGCTCACTTTTTAGCTTTGCGTGATGCTAATATGCATGCTTTCCTTGGGTGCACTGGAAAAGTGTGTTGATATATGTATGATTTTGGCAAGGATATTTTTACTACTCTCTGTAATCAGATTTTCCTTTCTCTTAATGCTGGCATTTTAGTATACGTTGTCTACAGCATTCAATTAGCATGCCTGCCATGAGGTAACGTATGCATAGTCTACTAATTGCCCACAAATTATCCTAATCTGAACAGAAAGGATAATTTTGGTTGGTACAGTTATGCCTAGTTTACAGCAGAAGGTATATTAGACTTACTCAAATTATTCTCAGTATGATACATCCTGAGTGTGCCGTCTAAGGGTTTTCCTCTTAGGGGATGAGGAAAGAAATGCATCTGTAATGTTATAGACCAGCGATGGCGAACCTGTGGCACATGTGCCACAATTTCATCTCATTTTGAAAGCTGAGCAGAGTTGGACCTAGTTAGTGCTTGGATAGGAGACCATCAGGGAATAACAGAGGTCTTCAGCTAGGGCTAGGAAGGAATTTTGTTTGAAACTATGGACAACTGCTTCTAGTTAGAAATAACAAAACTAAGCTAAATAGACCAGTGGCCTGACTTGGTAAAAACATGGTGTTATATGTTCTGAGGAGCATAAATCAAGTAGGTGGTTCTTCTTACACATATTCCAGAAAGATTATTAGCTCTTCTTGGAAGCGCCAGAAAGTTGTATTTGAACACAAAGTAGGATCCAGTGTCATCAACCTAAGGAAGAGCAATGAATAAAGTAGTATCTGCAAACTACTAGAATCCCATTATGTTTCTAAATTGAATTGGTTTTACTTGTACAGTACTTTCTTTCTTTCTGAAAGCTTTCATGGAGTATGACTATTGTCTTTTGTAGCTTAAGGGGAAACATGCTTCCTGATCATATATGTTAAGTATGATTACAACTGGTTATTTAATAACCATTTAATTGAATCTGAGCTGCACTTACTGGCAATCAGGTCACTGAAACTAATCAGCGATTTTCTAATTCATGTTGCATTAGCTACTTCTGTTTGGTTGAAGGAACAAGCATCTTCAAAAGCTATTGTAATCTAGTGTAATTTGTCCCAGGGAAACGTTCTCAGGTTTTATACCTAAAAAGGCATTTGTTATTTTCCAGGATAGTGCAAGGATGAACATACTATGGAATGTTTGCATAAAATAATGTTTTACATAAAAGAGGAGCACTTTTGTGTGTTTGGGGGGAGCTAATTAGGGCAAAAAAGAAAATGCTGTGTAGTTGACTAGCTATACTTGCTGTAAGTAAATATTTTAGAACATATTGGCCTCATTTACGTAATTTATAATCTGTCACATTGTGCTAAAAGTGATAAGTTGCTCTGGAAAACAAACTGCAGGGGGTGATTCTTAAAGATAGCATGTGTTAAATGTTACTGCTGCTGCTCACTTTTTAGCTTTGCGTGATGCTAATATGCATGCTTTCCTTGGGTGCACTGGAAAAGTGTGTTGATATATGTATGATTTTGGCAAGGATATTTTTACTACTCTCTGTAATCAGATTTTCCTTTCTCTTAATGCTGGCATTTTAGTATACGTTGTCTACAGCATTCAATTAGCATGCCTGCCATGAGGTAACGTATGCATAGTCTACTAATTGCCCACAAATTATCCTAATCTGAACAGAAAGGATAATTTTGGTTGGTACAGTTATGCCTAGTTTACAGCAGAAGGTATATTAGACTTACTCAAATTATTCTCGGTATGATACATCCTGAGTGTGCCGTCTAAGGGTTTTCCTCTTAGGGGATGAGGAAAGAAATGCATCTGTAATGTTATAGACCAGCGATGGCGAACCTGTGGCACATGTGCCACACCTGGCAAGAGCCCTCTCTGCGGGCACGCGAGCCACAAGTCGCCGGATTGCTACCCCCAGCAGCCAAACCTGAGGTGGCTGCAGCTGTAGTGCTAGCGCCCCGGTGGGCCAGGATCTGGAGCAGCAAGCACTGGCGGGGCCCGACTGGAGGTGGATCCGGAGTGGGGTCTGAAGGCACCTCCATGCCTGAAATTCCCTCTTCCGCTGTGGCCTGCCACCCGCAAGGGTGTGTCCCCCCCCCCCAGTTTGGGCACTCGGGCTCAAAAAGGTTAGCCATCACTGTTATAGACTATGGACACTAGGAAATATATTCTATTAGGCTGTCGGGCTTCTCAAAAAGCAAATACAAGATGAGGGTGAAAATAAAGGTACAATCAGATACACATGTAGCTCACATTTTGGGACTGCTTGTGGTGTGATCTGGTGCAAGCTATATCCTGGTGATGGTATGACATACAAGGAATAGCAGCACTCCATCCTGACTTCAGTCCATGCCCAAGCTGGAATATTTTGGTTCAGCAGTAGGGCGGCTACCTTTGGCGGCCAGGCTGGAGTGATTCCCTGATAGACAGAAGGATTGTCTTAAGGGAGATCTCCCCTGGGAAAGCAATCCTCTCTGGTGTAATCAAACATACACCTTTCTTTCTATCTGATAGTACACATAGTAGTCTTTCTAGCTGTTAAATACTAAGGGTTTTATCCACCAGTAGGTGAGCAGAAAATGTACAAGAGATTATGCTGTCTTGCTAGAGGATATGCAAGTTCCACTAGAATAGCTAGCACAACAGTCATAACAAGCCGAACAGCTTGTGTACATGGAATCAGACTATGGATTTAATACTTCTGCAGGAATGAAAAACTGTGGATTTGCAGTAATGATATGGCACCACTGGATACAACCCAAAGGTGCTATCTATAATGCAGATGCGGTGTGCTACTGAAGTTATAACATCACAGGTTGAGTCTTAGGTAGTGCTTTTCTCTGCAGAACTTTCCTGCATTAATTTGTCTGCCATTGCATGTAAAGTTCTACTGTAAAAATAATCTATTGTTTCTTTCCCCACTAGAAATTCACCAACATTCAAGTCGTTTGAAGAGAAAGTGGAAAACCTCAAGGTATAACTTTTGAGCACAAATCTAGTGAAATACAAAGAATCTAGTTAATATTTCCTAAGCTAGTTTAACTCTTCTGTTACACATATGGGTTTACGCAGTAAGGCTTATACTTAGCTTGGATGCAACTGTAAGAGGAAATATTGGGCAGCTCGCTTCTTAAGGCAAGTGGGATGAAATGGTTTGATAGAACTGGCCTGAGAAGTTTAGTGATAGGGTAGTGCTTTGATTCTACTTACGAAGATTTGCAGTACTTCATACTTTTCAGCTTGTTCTCCACATAATTCCTGAATACCCATGAACAGTGTGCCCAACTGCTGCCTTTGCTCCTCCAGTAAGCAGAAGTGTGTGTGTGTGGGGGGGAGCCAGAAAGATGTTGTCATGGTTTGTGTAGAATTAAGATTAATTTTGTTTTCTCATGGACATCTCTACAGATTTGATACTTATTTAAGATTACAAATTTTGGCTTGTTCAGACTGAGAAGCCAGATTCCGCTACTCAGTTATAAAGCTAACAAATGATAACTGGAGGTTCCCAGAATTTTAAAGATTTTTTTTAAAAAAACATAGAACAAAAACATACAAATCTTTAAAAAAAATCTAATGATACAAAACAGTGAAAACAATTGTACCAATCATGGTTTCCAGGTTTTTTATTCTGCTCCTGCTGACAAAAAGTACCAGGGTGAGAGCAGTCAGGCAGCATGCACAAACACAAAACTAGGATTCTCCAGAATGCCAGCATGACATTTTGCCCCAAACAACACTTTGCACAGTTTAGCTAGATGTGAAATTGCAGATATCATAAAGGGACAAAGAATTATGCAGGGAACAAATCTTCTGGTCCAATACATTTTAGGTTTTCATAGAAGCTAAAGTTCTAATCTTTCATCCCCTATACCCATTCATGGTCCCACCCCACCCTCCATTCTAGCTGTGTGGACAGTTACCTGAGATTCTTGGGAATTTCAGCTTATACTGGATTTATATATTAACTTGTATCCAAAACAATGTTGAGTGTTTGTCCCTAAAATGCATATTTTAAGGCATGCCACCAAACGATTTGAACTTGATAAATCTTGGCTGTTCACAGTATCATCATTATCCCAAGCCTTTTCAAAGGAGCCACGATTGCATAGAAAGTAAGCTTTGGTGAGTAGCATCTAAGCCGGGAGTGAGCAACTCCTGAAGTTCCATACTATTCGTTATGCCGATTAGGGTTGATTGGACTTCTGGAGGACCACAGTGGCCCACCCCTGATCGGATTTATTGTCTAAATGACAGAGATTGTCCCAGCCCAAATTCTAGAGGAGTGCATCTAGGTGCAGCAGTTTGTACAACAAGACTCAAGTAGAGATCAGTATTGTTTCTTTCCTGACCCGCAAGGCACTAAGATATGTTCTGACATATTAATTGCTCCTTTAAATACTGCAATCCCCATTATCTTTTCTCCCTGTCAAATATCTTTATGGAAAGTATCCTCTGTTCTTGCATGAGTTAAACATGATCTGTATTTTAGATGCTGAAACAATTCAGTTGTAATCAAGCTGCTTCCCTGACACTGAATCCGATGAGCTGGAAATGGAACACATAGAAATACCTAGCCAAACTGTTGGCCCAAAATATTTGAATGGTGGCTTTTAGAGGAGAGGCTAGAGCCCTTCCAGAAAATATTTAGGCTTGTACTTTGGAACTTGAGAGGAAAAAGTTGCAGAATTATGGAGGAGCTACAGAAAACATTCCTTTGTTTTCTCTTTTCTAAATTTAGCATATGTTAAATTGTATAGTTATAATGAAACTTACAACTGCATGCAGATTTGGTTTGGAGGTTTATCTGATATTTCTAAATATCTCTTCAGTATAAGGTTGGAGGAAGCAAGCCCGCGGGAGGTGACTTTGGAGAAGTCTTAAATTCTGCTGCCAATGCCAGTGCCACAGAAGCTACTACAAAGCAGACAGAAGAGGAGGCTCAATGATTGTCCTGCCTTCCTTCTGCAAGCCACTGCCAGATGCTGCAAGCAAATGTTGAAGCACAACACCTCTGCTGTTGACTTCCAAGATGTCTTTCTGTTTAGCACTTAGCTTTATGAGCTGTTTAATAGAAATAATTTCTGTAGGTTCAGAAGCTGAAATTACCTGTGTTATCTGTGGGATCAGGATTTTTATGCATTTTGAATATTTATGAACTTTGTTTCTGTTCTAATCACTAATATATTGCATTACAAAAGTTTCTGTGGGAGGTTCAACAGTGTATGTGTTGGATACTATGCTGAATAATATTTGCTTCATGTTAAGTTGGTACCCACTTATTTCACTGCCAAAAACCTAAAAACCTTAGTGATTAAGTGAATTCCCACTACTGATTTTTTTTTTTAAAAAAAGAATTGTCATTGGCAAAATACACTGTTAAACTTGACTGCATATGTGTTGCACTCTGCATTCACTAAAATAGTACAGGTTCCCTTAATGTTCACTGTTGCTTAATTCATTTTCCCTAAAAGGGTTTTGTGATTTTCTTTAAGATATTGCAAGTTGTCTTAATTCAGTTTTTTCTCTTGGCTTTGGTTATGCCAGGGGTAAGCTGGGCTCATAAAATAATGAAGTGGACTGTTAATGCAAAATATGTTGACTGAAAATATGAATGCTTTAGAAATACCATGTTTAAAAAATGCATTTAACACACTTGCAACTTAGAAAGGAATAACCAGAGAATATGCCATTTCCTCAGCACAGCCTTTTAAATGATCTGCTGACTTGTACACACTGTTCCCTCTTGGCAGGTGATACATATTAAAATGCTGAAAAGAAAAAGCCCTGCAGGAGAGGAAGAGCCTTTTAAGATGGTAGTCCCACACTGAAACCTGAAAATATACTGAAATATACTCATAGGTCAACTTCCATTTCAAAATATTCTTGAACTGAAACCTGTTAGTGATCCTGTAAAAAGACTTGATTTTCTAGAAGCTGAATGCATCCCCTTTATATCTTGCGTGCTGGCACTAGATAACTTTCTGGCACACTCTTAAGATTGAATTCAGATGTTTATGCCACTTTTAATCACAAAGCTTGGAATGAAGTAGAACACATTCTTAAAAGGTGCATTGTAATTTCAGCTTTAATTTTCTAGTTCCACCAAAATTGCCATGAATCATGTCTGTAAAAGGAACACATACTGTATTGGACAGCTGTCTGTAGCATTTCAAATTTAGGCCAAATACCTGAAAAAATAAAAGCATTCTATTCTCAAATGTAAAAGATTAACAAGAATTATGTGTTTATACAATATCATAAAAAAGGTCTGTGTTTCATTCAGACTGGAGTTGTGCACATTTACTGGGGGATCAACAGCATGACTGTGAAGCTTTGGCATTAATAGCGGAAGTTCATTGGGATCATGATACCATTTGAATTTCAGCAAATGAATGTATTTTAGCAATGGAAGTAGTCTTGCTTGCTGTATTGACACAATAACTGTCCATATACCCATTGAAACACATACCTGAACAAAAAGGTGTACATATTTTCTTGGCAGGAGAACTATGGATAACCAATGTGGTGTAGTGAACAGAGTGATGAGCTCCATAGGACTCTTGATGTCTAGTATGTTGAATCACTTCCCTCTTTTTTTAAAAAATCAAGCATCTTAAAAACAGTCTGAACTAAGCTTACGATGAGGCATCTGTTCCCTCTTTATCATGCTAAGGAACCAAGCTTGAAGCAGGGTGTGTGTTCATTACTTCCCTATCTAAGCAGTGTTGACAGTCTTTCATCAAGTGGTAGCGCCTGGCTTGTGTAAATATATACATTACAGTAATACTGTCTTCTATGGTAAATTTATTTTCAATCTGGAATAGCCTGGAATCCAGGTTGATTCAATAGAATGGTCTAGAGTGGTCTTAACCGACTAGATAGGCGGGATATAAAATAAATAAATAAATAAATAAATTCTGGCACTGAACTGAAGCCAGCAGATACAGTTCTTTCCCTGGCTTGTCCCTGCAAAAATCCTGTCCTGTAAGTCAGGCTGAGAGTGACTGGTCGAAGGGCACATAGTGAATTTCACTGCCCATTCAGGACTACAGCTTGAATCTTACAAGCCTTTCTCTAATACTAACCATTACACTATATTGCTGTTGTAATTCAAAATCAGCCACACTGTCTCCATCCCTGCTGTAGGTACTCTCCCTATCATGTCCTACACATGTTCCAGGTTCTTTTTGAATGCACTGATGCAACAGTGATGTGGGGACTGAGAGAAGTGTAATACTTCTTACATCTTGATGCTACCAGTTCTGAATCATCCTTCATTTCCACTAGGGTGTGGAAAATAAAGGCTGCACATATGCTAGTTCTGTCCAAAAACCTGAAATTTTTGGATCCCTGGCAATTTTGCACATGAGGCACTTCCAACACAATGTTACCAAAAATGAAGGTGCTATAATGTAAGAATGCGCATAAATGCTTTGCTAGACTTAAGAGTGTTTGGGAATACTGAGCACTGTAGTAATACATATTTGGGATCAACATTCCCTCTAATCCTGGTGAATGTGCAGCCACACAGCGCTGCATTGGGGGCATGCAGCTGAGCCACTGTTGCTGTCCATTTGCTTCCAGTTCGGCTGGGACCCCACACGCTGTCCCGTGCTCTGGAAAATTAGAGCGAACATTGTTTGGGCCTATTACAAAATATTCTGCATACCCTCTGCAGCTTTCTCTTGAGAAATACTAGAAATATTAAGAACACATGTATTTAAGTCTGAGACAAATCCAGGCACATCTGATAGAACATTCACAGCTTTGTGTACCTGCTGGTCATCTGTTTGGTCTCAGTTCTTTTCCTCCCTCCAATTGGCTGTCCTATCCAGTAGCCAGGGATGTTCAAATACCAGGGAAACATTTACAACAGAAACAAAAGTATTGTGGTCCTTCAAAGAAAGATTTTTCATAGCAGGCTTTTGTGAATTGCCATGTACTTACACAGACATAACTAGTAAGACACACCAGCAAATATTGATATTATATGATCTGATTAGGAGATAGATTTTTATCAGATTTTGAAAAACTTTTTGGAAATTCTGAGAGTTGCTGCATGCCACTACTGGTGGCATATAGTCCAATGTCCTGGCTATCTTTTTGTTCCAAGTCAAATGCGTTATTATTCTGGGCACAAGAAACTTAACATGCATAGCTAAAGAGACTGTCCACACAATAGCCACAAGGTGGAAGCAGTTGACCAGGATATGCTCGATGAGAATTTGGTTCCTTCCCCAAACAGCAGAGGGCGTTTCTTTTCTATACCTCTGGAAGGTATAGAAAATTTATTCAGAAAATTAGAAGTGACCTCGTAGTCACTTCTAATTTTCTGAATAGGGATAGAAGCTGCCAAAATGCTTTCCCTGGGCAGGGGGACTGTGTTAAATCCAGCTGTTCCAATATATATACTCAATTTTATTAGTTTCTGCAGTCTTGTACTCTACTCAGCTGTTGGACTAGAAGCCTGCACTTCTGTTTCTTGGAAACAGGCCCATTTAATAGAATACCATTAAAATACTGTGCATAGGATACAAATTGCATTACATTACTCTCCTTTGAAATTAATGACATACAAATCAGTATATATATTTAGTTAATACTCGTTTTACTGTTCCAATTACGTTCATTATCTCCAGTTTCTACATTTTATGTGCAATTTTTTCCTAATACACTTTATGCAAATTTTCCTCATAAAAACATTTTATATGCAATTTGAACCAACTGCATCGCAAAATGGAGGAGATGAAGAAATGATGCTAAGGAATTAATCTGACAGATAAGGCCAATTCTTTTAAAACCACCAAACTAAATTCTTCAGCAACTACTGATGAAACACAACAGTAGCTGCATCCTTCTTTTGCCTTTGTAAATTTCTGGGATGTTGGCATGTCTTTGGAATCGAGTCCCAGGTTTGAGTCTTTGGTACCAAGTCCAAGTCCCTTTCAAAAAAACAAAGGAAAAAAAAGGAAGTGGGTGGGTAGTTGTTGAGTCCAAGTAAGGGGGGGGACCCAAGTCGAGTCCCCGGTGTTACTTAAGTCTGACTTGACAGCAAGTCCCACAACTCAAGTCCCTATTCCTGGTAAATTCTGAGTCTGCTATTTTGGCAGTAGGTAGACATTGTGTCTGGAAATGCTGCATTCTTGCCCTCCCGATTTCATTTTAGAACTGGGGTTCCTAAGTCACATTGATTTTTGCATCTCAGAGCTATAAATATGGAGTTGTCTCTTTTGTTTTAATTAATGTAAAATCTTAATATTTGCAGCTGCTAAAGCACAAATCTGTATGCATATACTTTCCTGTTAACCTCTCTCAATTCCACAGGGCGAAGGAACTGTGTAGCGTCTTCGAGTTGAGGAATTCATGAATGTTAAGAAATACTGTGTCTCAAAAAAACTTTGGAAACTGTTGGTGGTAGAAGGGAAAAAGAATTTGCACAGCTATGCCTCCAATCTATTCCTTACAAGGTGTAAAAGCAAGGTCATGGTAGAGGCAAAGGCAACAGTGCAGACTGCTGTACCAATCACCTCTTCCCTGCCCTACAGGGTTGGTGCAAGGCCTTTTGATTGAAATGCAGCTGCTTGGTTGAAAGTGTTAAAAATATATATTTTGATCTCCAAGAAATCAAATCTGTAAATCAAAAGCACAAGAACTATGTTGCATCAGACCAAAGGTCTTATCAAGTTCAACATTAGGTTCATCTCTTGTTGGGTTCAAGGAAACTTCTACTCAAGGAGCCAGTCAGCCATGTCCTTTTATCAAATACTCCATTCTATATGTATTTTAAGTATTTATTTTAATGTAATACTTATTTAATTATTTTTAAATATTTGCATACTTACTGTTTTAGCTTTTAAATACTGTCTTTTTAATGAGATAAGCCCACCTTGGATCCTTTTAAGGAGAAAGGCGAGGTACAAATATTTTCCATAAATAAATAAAATACCCATTTTCCTCTGTCCGCAAACAGGAACCATTAGAGTCTCTACCCCTCTCTCCGACTGAAAGGCTGTCCTTTCAACCTCAGCACTAGGTGCTGCTCTTGCATTCTCACAAACGTTAGGGTTTCCTTCCCAACCTCCTGCTTGCTCGCATTTGGCCCCGGCCGTTTTGGAGACAAATCTTTCGCCGGCACCAAAACTGTCGCCCAGCCCGCCAATCCCAACCGGGTCTTTCCTGGCACCACAAACCAGACGGGAATCACATTAGGCGGGAGAGGTTAACCATCAGCGCCAAAGAGGAAAGCCGACATTCTCCGCAAACCTGACGGCAGAGCGCTCAACGGAACGAAAGCGAGGCGCCTTCTGTACCGGCCGAACCTTCTAGACCGAAACACCCCGCGGCGCTTCCGCTGTGTATCATAGAGACAACCGTTCGCCGGGTAGTCGGGGTAGTCTAGGAACATCCCCGCAAGAGGTCCCCTTCTATTGTTTTAGGGTGGGCTTACGCGGCGATAGCTTCCGGCGGAGGTGGCCTTCGAGGTGTTGCGATGGCAGCTACTGCTCTGGGAGTCGCGGCGAGGCGGTGTTTGCAGCGGAGATTCCGTTTGGGAAGGACGCCTGTCCTCTGCGGAACGACGCTCGGCTGGCGGCGCCCGGTCTTCTCGGGAGAGCGAGGAGGCAGCGGAAGCGAGGTGCGGTTGTGCGCGTGCATCTCCTCTCCGCCTCCGCTTTGCTTCCTCTCAGGGGTGACTTGGCCTCTCCTGGTGGGACGCGGCAGGGAAACGGGCTGGGGGCTCCCTTCTGGGGAAACCCTTTCTTTTTAATTCTTGAATACTTCCCTTTGGCTGCGTATGAGGCTGGACTAGATCCTCATCTTATCAATTTTCCTGTGCGTGCTTTCTTGAATGTTAGCCCCACGGAGTTCAGTGTGGCCGCGATCATTCCTTACACATGCACGCAGGATCGCTTACCTACCCGTCAGCTTAATGAAGGCAGTGGGACTTGGTTTCTAAAATCGGGAGCCCCAGGGAATGCACGTTGACCTGGAAATAAGCTGCACAGTTTTTGATGGGCTTTTCACTGACAAAAGCTTATAGAGCTATAGCTTCAGCTGGAAGAGTAAGGTGCCCCAGTGTCTATAGGTTCATATCCTTTCTTCTGGTTTATCATGGGTGTTTTATTGTCTTGCCGTTCTTATTAGGAGACATCATGAATGATAGACTAATACCTCCACAATAGTGGTGACTATGGATTTTGTTCTGTTAACATAGTAAGACATACATTTTACTTCTTAATTGCTAGAGAGCTCCATAAAGCTGAGTTATTTCATTGGAAAAGAATTTATATCAGCTAAATCTATGATGGTGTTTTCATTCACCATGTGAGGGGTGGGCTTATATATATTTTAAAGTAGTTTGTATTTATTTTAGGTTTATTTTCTCTGAACTACAGGATCCAGGGCAGCTCACAAATCATTCAGTGATAAATTGAATACCGTCACAGTGGTGGTAATCTTTTGTTTCATATGTCACCTGGCAGCATCCATAGTATTTATGAAAAACAATCCTTAAGAAGGTACTAGTTTAGGTTTTTACTTCCTACCTTACTTGATCAGTGGACAGGACTAAAGAAATGTGTGGCCCACCAAATGATGTTGGAGTACAACTCCCATCATGCTTCAGCATTGGTAATGCTAGCTATAGCAGATGGCAGTTCCACTGCAACAGTATTTGGAGGGATGCATGTTCCCCAGTATTAATCCAAGACAACTTTGTCTCAACAGACACAAACTACAGTCATGTGAAAAAGAAAGCGCACCCTCTTTGAATTCTATGGTTTTATGTAACATAATAAAAATCACCTGGTCCTTAGCAAGTCTGAAAATTAGGTAAATATAATCTCAGATGAAGACATCAGCATCACCACCTATATAAAAGCTGAATTTTAGGAGTTTGCTGGTCTGGAGTATTCAGGTGTGTGTTAACACAATGCCAAGGAGGAAACACATCAGCAATGGTTGCAGAGAAGCAATTGTTGCTAGCCATTCATCTGAAAAGGGTTATAAGGCCATTTCCAAACAATTTAAAGTCCATCATTCTACAGTGAGGAAACATTCTACAAGTGGAAAATATTCAAGACAGTTGCCAATCTTCTCAGGAATGGTTGTCCAAGCCAGTTCACCCCAAATTCAGACTGTTCAATGCTCAGACAAATTGCAAAACTCCCAAGAGTTACATCTCCGACTCTACAGGCCTCAGTTAGCATGTTAAATGTTAAAGTTCATGACAGTACAATTACAAAATGACTGAACAAGTATGGTTTGTTTGGAAGGGTTACCAGGAGAAAGCCTCTTCTCTCTGAAAAGAACATGGCTTAGGTTTGCAAAGTTGCACCTGGACAAACCAGAAGACTTCTGGAACAATATCCTTTGGACAGAGGAGACCAAAGTGGAGATGTTTTGCTATAATGCACAGTACTATGTTTGTTGAAAACCAAAACCAGGATATAAGAACAAACACCTCATACCAACTGTCAAGCACGGTGGTGGAAGGTTGATCATTTGGGCTTGTTTTGAGTCACAGAACCTGGGTGCCTTATAGTAATTACGTCAACTATGAACTCCTCTGTATACCAAAGTATTCTAGAGTCAAATGCGAGGCCATGTGACTGAAAGTTAAAGCTTGGCCGAAATTGGGTCATGCAACAGGACAATGTACCAAATACACCAGCACATCTACAACAGAATAGCTGCAATGGCCCAGTCAAAGTCCAGATGTCAACCTGATTGAAATGCTGTGTTTGGGACCTTAAGAGAGCTGTACGTACACAAATGTTCACAAATTTCAATGAACTGAAGCAATGTTGTAAAGAAGAGTGGACCAAAATCCCTCCATAACGGTGTGAGAGACTGGTAAAGCCATACAGAAAACAGTTACTTCAAGTTATTGCTGTTAAAGGTTGTTCTACACAAGCTATTGAATCATAAGGTATACTTAGTTTTTCTCCATTTTGGCTTAATTTTTGTAAAAGAAATCATGACGAGTAATATGTCATGTGTTGTTCATCTGAGTTGTATTTACCTAATTTTCAGATCTGCTAAGGACCAGATGATTTTTATTGTGTCCTGATACGTAAAACCATAGAATTCAGAGGGTGTACTTTCTTTTTCGCATGAATGTAGGTTCTCCAAATTATTGCTAGACTTTAGTTGGTTAGTTATGCCAGCGTATGTTCAATGGGAGAAAATACTACAGCAAATTAAAGAATTGGCCCTTGTATCTTTCATTATGTGTCACCTTACACAACTGGTGGATTCTAAGGAGAACAAGTGGTGATTTATTAATCTTGCCTTCCCTCAGATAAAGTCAAGGCAACGTAACTCAAAACTATGACAGCTAACAACTGTAAAATTGTGGAATCGTCATGTGGTAACTGTTGGATCAATTGCTATCCAAGGACAAGAATTATTCAATCAATTGTCTTGAACATGTTATTAAGCTATGTTTTTATTTAATATATTTATGGTCCAGTTTTAGAGAAAGTCTTCACGATGCAGAATGCAATAAAAATGCAAAAAAACAAAATGGTTGATAAATAATATAATGTAAATAGTGTCAGATAAAAGTACATACAGAATTTAACAAAAAGTTGATTAAAATCATTTGTTTTTGTTTATTTTTAAAGTAATTGAGGTCTGCTTAAAGACCATAAGTTGGGGAACAAGTATGGTTTTTGTGGAAATGTTAAAAGTGTGCTATCCAAGGTACCAGTCAGACTGCTCAGCTGAGCTCAGTATTAGGCCCTTGACAGATTCATATGTTGTGTAGGGATAGGGGTGCATGACTTTGGCCCTTCCAAGGATTTTGTGCTGCAGCTTCATAATGTCTCATGATCTACTATGCTGGCTAGAGCTCATAGAGTTGTATCCAAAAACCACCTGAAGGACCTAGTTGCTCATCCCTATTGTAAGCAGTTGTCCAAAAAAACAAAAAACAGTAGAAGGTTTTACATGTTTAAACTAGAAGTTTAGGTTGAATCTGGAATGATGTGATGCAATGAAACTGCCTCGTGCTCACAAGCATTCTGGTAGAGCAGTATTGTACCAGCTGAGTTTTCTGGACTATTTATAAGGGCAAGTCTACCTATAGAACATTACCTTTAGTCTAACCTAGATCCAGCCAATACATGTATAATGTAATACTGTACCAGTGCTGCTATCTGCAGGCAGAGTTGCAGTTAGTAAGCCAGCTCAATGGCAGCTTCCAATTAGAAGTTCCAATATCAAATTGGAGTTTTCAATAAGAGGAGGACTGTATCACATGCTCAGTATAGTGTCCGGTGCATTCTTTCAATATTTTGATTCCTGTCTAAAACAGGGATCACAGTGATGGTGTTGACATTACCAGGTACTAATAAAATTAGTAAAAATTAGTACTGGGAGTTTTCTATAATAGTGTAAGAGAGTGAGTGCTTAACAGTCATGTTTGTCCTTTCCGCTCACTGTTTTTAGCATATTCACAAAAGAGGCAAGGGTGTAATAAACCAAAAATAGGTGGAGAAAATCTGAAATCTTGGCTGATCTGAAAGCTAGATCCAGTTTTGTTGAAACAAACTGGCTAAAATATGTGATATGTGAAGAGAGGAGAGAAAAGAAATCTTACATACCAAAAAATGTAAGGTGAAGAATTAGAAACAGGAAAGAGATTTAAAAGCGAGAAAAAATGCACGAAAAGTAATATTTTTGTCACTTTTGCGAGAAATAATAAGTGAACAAGACCTTTAGTGGCAACAAATGGAGAAAATGGTTTAATGTTACAATAAGCATGTATTGCTACATTTTTCCTCTGCATATAATGAGCTACAAACATGAGTTAATATGTACAGATATTCCTTTATTGCTTGCAAATTGGCTCTTTTACAATGAGTTATGCAAGAGGTTCATATTTTGGATGAGAGTCAGTTGGTTCCAAGTTAGGTGAAGTGTTGATCCAGTACAATTTATCAACTTTTAGTTCCTGTTTGTTTTTTCTGTCAGCACTTCTAAGTCATCAAGCTACTATTTATGAAGCAATACTAACAAAGATTAGGAGTGGTTCTGGGCTGTGTTTTATTTAGGTCTAGCATTTCACTAGTGGTGTGATACTTTGGGTTTCATGCTTCAACAAATGTTCCGATTGCACATTGTATTTGTGCTCTAAAAGTGGAGATGTATTTGTATTCTCATTACTTTCTGTTCTCACCTTATTAACTTTGTTTGCTCTCAAACTGTATATGTAAATATACATATGCATTAATGTACACTACTGTCTTCACAGACTTTCAGGCTACAAAAGCTTTTCTAAGATAAACTAAGTAGTTTCTAAGATGAAAGCTAGTTTCTGTTTTGGGATACATGCTAACACCATCACTGTTTGGCCTTTCCTCCCTGGTAATTTATCCAGTTATTCATGTCAGTGCTTGAGCTGAGAGAGATTGCATCCTGGATAGTGTAGTGTAAAGCAGGGTGCTGCTAATATTTGGTTGTGTGGGACTTTTTTTTAGCTTATTGCATAACCTTGCCATTCAAGCTATGACCTCTTTTATATTAATATTTGTATTAGTTACATATGTATTACAGTGCATACATATAAAACTGTTGATCTTAAAATTCAGATTGGGTGTTTGTTCCAGTCATATTGACTTATGGCAAGGAAAGCAACTTCATCATCATTTGGAAGCAACTATTGAGCCTATTCCTGCTGCATAATAAGTCCCAACTGTGGTACTTTAACTCCAGAAGCTTTCACTTGGCCCTCTATTCTACAGCCAGTGTTTCTGTGTCATGAAAAAAATCTCATTTAGCCTTGAGAAAAGAAGAATGATGAGAGACATGGTAGCACTTTTCAGAAAATCTCATTTAGCCTTGAGAAAAGAAGAGTGATGAGAGACATGGTAGCACTTTTCAAATACTTCAAAGGTTGTATAGAGGAGTGGGAAAATATGTTCTCATACATCTCAGGGTGGAGGATGACAAATCAAAGGTTGTATAGAGGAGTGGGAAAATATGTTTTCATACATCTCAGGGTGTAGGATGTGCAATAATGGGCTGAAGTTACATGAAGCCAAATTTCAGTTGAATATTAGGAAAAACCTCCTAACTGTTAGACCAGTATGAAAATGGAACCAATTGCCTCAGGAGATGGTAAATAGTCCTGTGCTGGAGGCATTCAAGAGAAAATTGGTTGTATAGAGGAGTGGGAAAATATGTTTTCATACATCTCAGGGTGTAGGATGTGCAATAATGGGCTGAAGTTACATGAAGCCAAATTTCAGTTGAATATTAGGAAAAACCTCCTAACTGTTAGACCAGTATGAAAATGGAACCAATTGCCTCAGGAGATGGTAAATAGTCCTGTGCTGGAGGCATTCAAGAGAAAATTAAACCACCATCTGTCAGATATATTACGATTTTTAAGACTTTCCTATATTGAGCAGGGGATTGGGTTTGATGGCCTTATAGGCCCCTTTCAACTCTGTTATTCTGTGATTCTATGATTCCTGAATAAAAGGGATATAAATACAATAATATAATTATTAGAGATGTGCATGGATAAAAAATGAATTAACAAATTCATTCAAAAAAACCCCTCAAATTCATTGATTCATATTCGTACGAATCAATGCCCCGAATGAATATGAATTCACAAATTTTTAACGAATTTTGATTTGTTGGGCTATAAAACAGCCCCTCCAGGCACCTAGAAATACCAAAATTGCAGGGAGGCTTCCTCTGACCCTTCTCTATAATCCCTCCAGGGTTGGTTAAAATTAGGTTTTGGGAACAGCCAAGAGATTATGTAAAACAAATCTGGGGACTAATATATCTCTGGACCCAGAAGAAGACTGAAGTCCCAAGCCAGCTGCTAAAAGACACTTTCCTGAGAAGACCCACTTTGTGGGTGTGTAACTTAGATGTCTGAAACCCAATTTTCACTAACTTAGAGGAATTGTAGAGGAGAGTCAAACTTCTCTGTAGGCACCTAGAAATACCAAAATTGCAGGGAGGCTTCCTCTGACCCTTCTCTATAATCCCTCCAGGGTTGGTTAAAATTAGGTTTTCCCAAGCCAGCTGCTAAAAGACACTTTCCTGAGAAGACCCACTTTGTGGGTGTGTAACTTAGATGTCTGAAACCCAATCTTCACTAACTTAGAGGAATTGTAGAGGAGAGTCAATAGACACTTCTCTGTGATTTTAGTGTCTCTAGATGTCTGGGTGGAACTTTCCTGGGTAGCCCTCCTTCTGGGTGTATAATTTGGATGTCCGAAAACCAAACCTCACAAAACTCCCAAGGCTTGTACAGATTTCATGGATAGCTTCCCTGTGAATATGTTGTGATGTTTGGGGAGGTATTTTAAAGGGTTTTAAAGTCAAACACAGAAAAAATCATACATTTGTGATTTATTGACCTTGATGAATCAAAATGAATCACAATTTTTCAGATTTGTGCCCATCTCTAATCATTATGTATCATTATTTAAATGAATGTGTCCCATTGATTTAGTGGAATATAAATGTTTGTATTACAGAGCATTTGTACTGTTAATAGCCCTGTCCAGTGGTTCAGTGAGAACAATTTTTCTCTTTTCGTAAGAGGTCATAAGGTGGTCTTAGCCAGTGTTCTGGTATCTGTAGCAGGATCCTTTTATACAGCCTGTTGCCTAGTACATTTTACTTTTTTTTTGTGGAAGGGAATGAACAGCTTAATAAGATAAGTCAACTAAACAAATGAAATTCTAAATATTTGGTAATTTGTATCTGAAATAATAAATGGGCATCAGCTGCGTATGCAAACATTTTTTTCTGTTTTCTTTTTCAAGAATGTAGAATCTTTTGCCTCCATGTTGAGACGTTCTCCTTTCATTCAGATGGGACCTGCCAAAGACAAAATTGTCCTTGGACAAATTTTCCATGTTGTAGAAGATGACCTCTACATAGATTTTGGTGGCAAATTTTACTGTGTATGCAAACGGCCAGAAGTAGATGGAAAGTAAGTAAAGTTTTTATAACGGATGTCCTACATGTGTGATAGAAACTGTTTGTGTGTTTTACTGAATTCTCTGTGTAACTCTTAACTGTTGAATAATTATCTCTCACATCTTGAAATTTCATAAAAATACTTTTGGGTAGAGACATTGGATAAAACATTACTTGTTTCTTTTCCTTTCAGCTGCCAAGGGAAGTAAGCAATGAACTGTTTTGTAAGTTTCATGTCAGAGGGTGGCATCTCTAGTACTTAAATGATTGAAATGTGGATAGATATACAATGTAGCAGCACATCTGTGCTGTTTATCCTTCCTGTCAGTTCTAACCTTCAGAAGAGGAAGCCTACAAATATAACCAAAGATCAGTATTGCTGGTTAGTGCTAGTTTGTTTTCTTATTGTACTTGTGTTCCTGGTCAGGATCTCCTGCTGTTGGCACCAGTTGTCCTGAGTTTTAGCAAGAAGGGAGTCCATAAGACTCATGAAGAGGTTCCAGTAGCCATGATGGATGACAAAGCCAGACAGAGTAGGAAATAATGAGAAGAGCAGAGGAGGCAGGAGAGGGAAGTGTGCAGCCCCTGTGAAATATCTGTGCAGGTACTGCCCTGAACTGGGCTGAACCACCAAACTGTGGCTTGTGCACATATCAAGTTGTAGCTAACAAGTCCTACTTATTTCGCTGGATCTAGATTAGGTATACAGTATTAATAGGATTTAGCCAATCCTCTTTATCATATTTCCATCATCTTGGAAAATAATAGAAATTATATTCGTAGTGAAGAGGCTATAAGTTGGATGCATTGATTCCACATTCTAGTCAGGCATTAAGAAAACGTATTGACCAAAATTCTGTTGTTTAGCACAGTAAATCATGGGTCATTCCATGTCAGATCAACCAATGAAAAATCCTCCTCTTCGTGCAAATTTTGTGCACACTTATTTCCAAGGCATTGAAGCAGAATAGTATTTTTATGCCACTGCACATGGCAGAATCAGATCAACCAATGAAAAATCCTCCTCTTTGTGCAAATTTTGTGCACACTGATTTCCAAGGCATTGAAGCAGAATAGCATTTTTATGCCACTGCACATGGCAGAGAAGTTTGTGATGGTGTTATATTACAAATGATGGATACCTGAAGAGGAGAGCTTTTTAAAAAGTGATGGTGTTATATTACAAATGATGAATATCTGAAGAGGAGAGCTTTTTAAAAGTACAATTTGATGAAGCAGTTCCTGTTACAGGAACTCAGAAGTGTCATGCCTTCCTCGCAGTATCAACTGAAAAATTAGAAACCAAAGCATTTTCAGCTTCTCATGGTTCTGTTTTACATTGGATTAAAGTCACTCCCAAACTTCAAGATGTAGGTTTTGATTTTGTAGATTTTGATCATTTGAATGGTTTTGTGGCATGTGCCTATTACAACTCATGATGCATGGGATGTGCTCTTTCAGTGGATGCTGCAGAACATGAAGTCAAGCTATCATTCTTACATCCAGCTGGACCAGCAACATCATTCTCTTATCTTAGGAAACCAGATGTTTTTACAGTGCCAGGAAACTTCATCCTTTGCAAATTGGATCCAACTATAGCTACAGGGAGAACATACCAGCTAACCCCACCGAAAATGACAAAGCATCCAACATGCTAGCCAAGAAAAAAGAGGTCTTAATCATTAGGTATAGACATTTTGGTCTATTTTCAGAGCTAAGTCAATTTAAATACTTGTCACTATCAACAAGAAAATTTAAGTTTTGTATGATACCATTGGGATACCAGCCTGAAATTTGGATTGACTGGCTGCAAGACATGTATCTTTAAGTGTGAATGTTTATAAAACTTTAAAAAATTCTATTTTCCTAAAAATTCAAAATTTAAATTTATTTAAATATTTAAATTTTTTGAAAATGTGCAGTTGCAGCATGTTGTATATCAAATGAAAGCCCTATTCATAAGCTTTAGAATGACACATGTCCCAGGCCTGTAGCTATAATGGATATCTATTAAAACTATCTCAGAAACAGGTGGACCAAAAATATGAAAAAAATATTTTTAGAACATCTCATGGTAAGGTACAAATGTACCAAAAATTAACCAAATCCATGACATCAGGGTTTCTTGCATTGGTTGATTAGACATGGAATGGCCTTCACACATTTAGGTCAATTGAATCATTTAGGATTTGGTGAATCGACTCCTTCATAGGTGCATTTCTTCAAATGGATCTTCTCTATCATGTCTTCAGCAGAAATAAAAGAGAATCATGTGGTCATTACACAGTATAAATGCAGGAGTAGGCAATACCTTTATAGACTACTAAAGAACTACAGATAAATGCAGGAGTAGGTGATACCTTTATATACTAAAGAACTGCACTCTATTTCAGCAGAGTAAGTCACAGTTAGAACAGGGCCATTTGAATCAGTGGAGCCTATGGAGGAGTTGAATCACTAAATCCATTCATTCAGTAGGCCTACTTTTGTGGAATTTACTGTGTTAAGCAACAAGGCTTTGGCTGCTATTTCCAAGCTGAATGAATACCTCCCAGTGGAGGCAATATAGTTGGTTTCAGGTGACCTGTAGTTACTGCTATTGTGAGTTATGGACCACTAGCCAAAGCAGAACTCTGCCCACAATGATGAAAGAGAAGATGAAAAAGTGGCTTAAAAATTTCTTATTTTTATAGCCATTATCAAAACTGCTGTAGATGTTGAAGGAAGTGTCTGGTAGTGGTAGATATGGTAGCTATGGTAAGGTCAAGAGATGAATAAATGAAAGGCAGAAAGGCTGGAGCCCTTTCTCTAAAATTTCCCAACATACCTATTCAATGTTACCTAGTTTGCTGGAAGGAAACAAAAACTAAAGTCTAAAGTTTTATTATGCGGTCACAGACCCAATTATACAAAGATACATAAAATAAATACATGGTATAGTATAAAATCTTGCTATAGCATTTTGCAAGTTCACATAGCTGAATATAAAATTATGTTATTATTTGGCCTCTCCAGACAACAGAAACTTCAGATAGCCTGTGGGAGGTAGAACAGTACATTTAGTACATGATTGAAGCAAGGTATCGAATACTGTACGTTCAATCCTATATAAGCTACATTCTAAAATGATGTCTGCCAAGGTCTCAATAATTTCTTTCCCGCAGGGACAAATCCTTTCACTGTATGGGGTGTTATTAAAATGCCATTTTAAAAGGGCTGAGAGAAAGCAGTTAAACCTAGCCCTTGAAAAGGCAAAGTGATATCTCGGTGCTGTAATTGTTATAAGTAGTTAACTGGCTTGGGGAAGTTAAAATTTAGGCCAAAACACAGTGGTGAACTTCTCCTATCTGAACATGCTAGAGAGTACTGAAGGTCTATATCTTTAATACGTTGAATAAGTATTGGCTCAGTAGGAAGTCCATAGAGAAGCCTAAGAGATGTAGTTTTTCTGTAAAGCTGGCAAAGAAATATTTCTGCACATAGTATAGGTAGCCACAGGTTATTGGGGCATAGACCACTTTTAACCAATAATGTGAACTTCTCCTATCTGAACATGCTAGAGAGTACTGAAGGTCTATATCTTTAATACGTTGAATAAGTATTGGCTCAGTAGGAAGTCCATAGAGAAGCCTAAGAGATGTAGTTTTTCTGTAAAGCTGGCAAAGAAATATTTCTGCACATAGTATAGGTAGCCACAGGTTATTGGGGCATAGACCACTTTTAGCCAATGATGAAATGCATGTAGCCATGCTTGATGTTCTACTGAGTGCATATCAACTTCGAGCCGCAGACTGACTAAAGATGCACATCTTGGCATGGCAAACAACGATCACAACGTATTTAATAAAACACTTTCAATGGAGGGGTTAAAACACGTAATCCAAACAGCAATACCATACAACAACTGTGCAAGGATTTTATGCTTGACTGTCTAGGGTCACAGGAATCAGCTCCCCACCCTGGACATAGTGAAATCGTCTAAGTAGTTTACTTGTGTTACTGGTCACCTGTACTGCTGATTGTCTGTGGTACGACTAGGAGAGGGAGTGTGAAAAAGTAATTCCCAGGTATTTGAATTTTTTAACCTGTTCTATCTGTTGGCCCTCAATAACTCAATCTTTGGTTTTACTGTGTCTGAAGAAGACCATTATTTTGGTTTTGTCAAAACTGATTAGTGTGTTTTTCCTGCAATAGCTCAAACAGGCACGTATGATTAGTTTAAGGCCAATTTCTGAGAGTGACATGAGAACTGTATCGTCTATGTATAGTAGCAGGGGTACATTGATTTTAGCCAGTTTTGGGGAGTGATATTCAGGTGCTAAACAACTTTTAGAGAGGTCATTAAGATACAAGTTGAATAACAACATACCTGAAATATTTTAATGAATGGATTCAGATAAATTCCTGGGCCAGAAGATAAGATATTAAAATCAAAACTTCCTCTTTCAAAAATAGGTGTGTGTAATACAAAGCAAATGTAATTTGCTTCTGCTGTTGGATGGAACTCTAAATCTTTTTAAAATAATTAGAGAGAGGTGTTGGCTTGCCCACATGCAAATGTTTACATTTTCATCAGTTTATTAGTAAACCTAAAATGTTGGTTCTACAGCTGTCTCCTTTCTTATTATGCCTGTGTTCTCCCAGTGTCCTGAGACTTTAGAAACTTAAATATGCAAGATGATAATATTTTGAAATGTTCAGTTCTGTTTTTAATCTGAAGCACTCTGGTCAAAATAATATTGAATTAAACAGAATAAACAAATTATTATTATTGTTCACCGTCAAGTTGATTCTAACATGTGGAACCCTTCCAGATTTTTATAAGTATGATGTACTCAGAAGTGGTTTACCAGTTCTCCCTTCTGTTGGCATTCTGGGAACAAGCAGCTTGCCCAAGACTTCACAGATGTCAGGGCATGTGACATCATCAGGCATGCACGGTCCAGGGGATCTCAACTGGCCCTGACTGCCAACCCCTGCCTCCACGGCCAGGTGCTGCAACTACATTAGCTC